TATAGAAAAATGAAAGAATGGGAAAGGTGAGGACTTCAGGCATCAATGTTATTACCAAATTTTAAAATGCACTCTTCAACATATAAGAACAAATGCAAGATGTAACATTTTCGGTTCTTTGGAAGGGTATACCGATGCGTGCAAGTCTTCACAAATAAAACTATTCCTCGAGTATTCCCTTTCGGTATGTACTCTGTCGACTACAATATTCCGCACACTTAATGCTACTTAGTCAACTAAGGTGGGTAGATGTATTACTTGCTATTATCAGTACAAATAGTCTTCAAGTTTCTCCCCCCGTTACGTACCAGAAGTATCTGCGATTCCGTGACTTCCTTTTTGTCCTATACCTTTTCCCATTTTGTCATAGCTGCACAGAACCACTTTATTTGCTTCAGTAAGCTTCCATCTACTTTCCACTTATAGCCGTGAATGGCATAGGCTAGACAAGAATTATGATTTGGCGCAAATCCTGGTTTCATTCATTATCCAGAGAGCCAAAGATGCACCGATCATGTGCTCCTTACTCGTCCAAATCCCAATGCTGAAAAGGTAGTGCCCTTTTATCTATTCAATCTGGAACTTATTTGCATGGCATATCATTCAAATTACCCCGCTTTTGGGGTCATGAATTGCTTATACCAACTAAACTAATCATATCTTGAAGTCTTTTATGCAAAAAAACCAACAAATTATCAACCAATAAGTAAATTAAACCACTACTTTCGAGTGCTATTTTTCTAATTTTTTAAAAAGACGGATTATTATTACACAGATTCATAATTTTCTGGACTTCCAAAGCCCATATTTCAAACTAATTCAATGATAAACATCCATAAATAAATCAACCTAATTTCTCCTGTTCCGGAATCAAGCCGCTAATCAATGTGGCAAGTAATCTGCATCAATTGACCTTCTGAATAAATTTTTAAATAGTGGTCTGAAAATTTAAACAAATTGACAAATTACATTCGTGTCTAGGATTGTTTAAACTGAGAACAGTAGTTTTGCTCATGACTTTGAAGGTCTACCTTATATAAGGTGCCGCGGCGTCTTACAAACGTAATGCCGGCGGACGGGCCAGTTTGTCGGCGTTCACTATTTTTGTGGCTTTCAACAAGGACAGAGGAACAGTGGCAATGACTCTTTTTGGTTCCGTTACTAGATTTCACTGTATTTGCACCCATCAGTATTTCCACAACAGTAGCCACTGTACTGCCGTCTGATTCCTTTTGTAGGTAAGAATTGCGTTGTTCTTCCTTTTAGTCAGTTCCCTGTGACCAAGGCAAAGCGAAATATGGATCGCTTCAACAAGTTCTGGAGGCAAAAGTTGAGGTCTCGCCATGACTTTCCTTATCATTCCGCTTCTCAACTTTAACAATTCCGGAATATTGCTGAAGTAGATCTCGTTCAGCATGCACCTCCCTCGATCCTTCAACGCAACGTCTGTTTCTTGTCGTTCTCCCTTGACCATTCCTGGCTTAACTGAGGCAGTGTATTTACTAAGCCTTCGGTGTCTTATAAGCAATCTGTGATATTTGTGTGCACTTTCTGTTTTCCCATGTCAAAGTGGTGTTATTATCTCGTTTCAGACATAGTGCTCTAAAGACCCTTTGCTTTGCTTTCACTTGTATTTTCCTCTGACGTCTTCTCAGCTAACTAAGAACACTTCTTGATTGATAAGCCATCCAAGCACACCGTTCCCTCTGTGATGCCGGGTGCATTTCGATGTGTGTTTTGTACTGCTGTGTAGCTGCTCGACATGAATATATGTTCCATTCCAAATCCAGTCTTTTGTATGCCTTGAAGGTAATTCCAGTTTGGTTCTAAGAAGAAAAAAACAAAAGCGAGGGCAGAACCAAAACAAGTGAGGATTAACTGCGATTTGACCTGAGCCTAAATATGCTGAAAAATGGGAGCTTTACTACCCTCAAAAAATGCTTCACTCACAACCATTAAAAGTGCCTAATT